ATTTATAGCTGTTTGTTTGTATTTGTTAAAGTCCATGTTTTTTAGCCTAGGCGTTGTTATATTTTAAACCAAGTCTCTCACAGACTACAGTTTATTTCCCTTTGTGTTGGTATCCTTCTACAAACTGTGATTGGTTATTCTTGGGACAGCCGTGACCTGATTAACTGATTTTAAAAGATCGAAGTGGCTTCACAAAGCACGACATGATAAAAAAAAACAGGAAACCTTCATGGTTAAAAGCATAGCTGGACTGGCCATCGGGCATACCGGGCATTTGCCCGGTGGGCCGCTGGCGATTTTTTGTTTTTATGGGCCGATGGATTTTTTTTTTTTTTTTTTTTTTTTTTAGGAAGGGTATATATAATGAAAGGTGTTGGATTGGCCAATTGGTCATGATCGACTCTGGGCTGGACCAATTACAGCCGAGGAGGCCGGATGCACCCGCCCCCTTGTTTAGCAATCACGTGATTTTCGCGCATTGCATGCCGGGAACTCGTGGCAAAACAATCCAAGTACCGCATCAAATGCAAGCATTTGCAGCACCGCAAAACGTTCATTCTCCGGTTCCAATACCTTCTTGTTTTTTCTTTGCCGCACAAAAAAGGAATGTACAAAACAAAAGGAGAACAATGCCGGTCCGTACAAAGACAGACTCGACGAAAAGACAAAGAAAAGATACGAGGAAAAAATCAAAGGAGTGAAAGGGTCAGACCCTTACGAGCACACAGAGTGGACAAAAGACGTTAGCGTGCTGCCCAACTTTCACCACGCTCAGATTTATAATTATACGGTTCTTGGAGTGAGTGCATACACTCATGAAGTTTAGTAACTTCAGGTCACTGCAACAAGCCCAGGTACAGTTTACCGACGGATGGGTACAGGACCTTGAAATGCACTGTGTAGAACGAAAGACCATCGTACCTATCATAAGTTTACCAGTCTCACAAATTGTCTTCATAAATACACATTCGTTAACAGTTTATTAATATAACCTTTGAGATCAAGCGTAATTAATTAGTAGTGGAAATAATTTCTGGTCCATTACAGAAATGTAGCAGTGACAATAATACTGTATGCTGTAATCGCACTGGACAATTAGTGATACAAAAAACAACCCTGTGAATAAAAGTATATGTTTTTGTCAATGTACCATAATAACAGAAGCGAAACGCAATATTGTGTCAGGACAATTCACTATTTATGCACAATAAACAAAGGAGCATAGCGCGACAATTTCTGTTCAGCGCCAGACTTGCTTGTAACCTATATCACCAATTATGTTAAGAAAAATGACGTATTAACGACTAAAAACTCTGACCTTTGTGGGAATGCTTGGAGCAGACTAACATGTGAGCTGGAGTGTTCTGGGACGTTATATTTGGTATATCCAGACCATCCGTCGCCTCTTACTTCGGAAACATGGCTTAAAACATTTCTCTTCAACGTCGTAATCCGATAACAACCAATCTCTTTACCTGTCGGCTTCCCGTGGCTGTCATGCGACCGACTGTTGCAGTTAATAATACAACAGCTTCTTGCCATTTTTTGTGTTTCTTTTTATCGCTGTGTAACTGAGTTCAATTGAAAGCCTGCGTGCGCTAGTACCTCTTGCCACAAGTTCCCAGAATCCTTTGCGGTTTTACCCCTGAATGACGTCATATTTTCAATCTTTATCCTGGTGGGCCGGTCTCTAGTCAAAATGCCCGGGCCGATTTTTTGTCCCAGTCCAGCCTTGGTTAAAAGGTGAAGCCAGTGCAGAAATACCAAAACTGCAGTTCCACCAATGGTCACATGAGGCTGTCTCCAAAAGTGAGTCAGTCACCATAGTCTCACATGTTAAAATGTCCATCTTCAGCTGTGAAACAAACATATCTACAGTGTTTCTATAACTATATGCAATACACTAGGATGTTCGGGCTTGCCAGAAAAAAGCATTGTCGCTGATTACTGACTACTAAGCTTTACTTTTGACAACACAAGTCTTTGAATTATATGAATGGACTGATTTTTAATTATCTGACATATAATTTGGCTCTTTATGAATGAAAGCCTATTTGAAAAGCTTGCACTTCAGTTTTGTGGGTGAAATGAAAGTTCTTTATTATGTGTCTCTGTGAGCTGCACTCATAAAATAGATGATTATGATACTAAATTACAGCACTACCGTATTTTCCGTACCATAAGGCACAGTGCACCTTATAATCCGGTGCACCTTATGTATGAATTCTGGTTATACTTACTGTCCTCAAACCAATTTTATGTGGTACGCGGCGTTCAAAAAAGTGTTTTAGTACGACTTTGGTAAACTACAAAGCTGCACTGCTTGATGGATTGTCAGAGTAGTCAGGAGCCTCGCGGAGTAATCTGGGTCCAAAACTCCGTCCGCTTCAGGTCCCAAATTCAAACGAACACTGTGCCATCACTGAGAGTTAAAAACTGTCTAAATTGTTTCTAAATTCTTTCTTTAATAAAATGATCAGCGTTGCTGCTTTACCAGGTGTAACAATTAAGTTTCACATCCAGGCAACCACGAAAACAGAATTTATTACATTTAACGGAGTTCAGAGTTAGCAGGAAGTTAGCTCGCTAGTTTCCACGTAAACATGATATACCATGTTCTGACTGAGAGATTTCTGAAATAATTAAAACTTACTGCTCTGCTATCACTTTCAACATAAATGAAGACAGATAACTAAACAGCAGTTACTTTTGTAGGGCTGCTGAAGTTGGACTAGCTGGTATATAATGATGTGCCATGTGATCGCTAGCGGCACTGTCACTACCCGATCCGTACCGGAAACCCGATCGGTACCCCGCATGCGCGAAAGGTTTCTACTTCCGGTCGTAGCGTTTTACGATAGTTATGGGTCAGAGTATCTGTTAAGATGTTAAGAATAACAAGTATATCTTAAAATGTTTGCAATAATGAAGCATTTCAGTACAATGTAGACAAAAAGAACAATAAAAAGAAAGTTACGGATCAGGACTCTCCGATCCTTACTGCGCATGTGTAAAGTCGGACCGTACAAATCGGGTCTACCCGATCCGTACCGCGCATGTGCAGATGTTTTCTTCTTCTTCTGTTCGTTTAATGGCAGTTTACTCCCCAGTGTACGAGGATACCGCCACCTGCTGGCCGAGCGAATAAACCCTATTATAAACTGAATTAGCGTCATTACAAACGTGTGTTAAATCTGATTTAGCGATAGTCGAGTGTGTTTATGCTTGTCTGTGAGGAGAGGATTGTTGGAATAGTGATGATGATGTCCGCTATCACTGTCAATTGTCAGTAAACACTTCATCTGGCTGATGAATCTACATGTGAGATATTACAAAGTCTGCATTATTAACTCTGTAATTAGGCGCCATTCTTCTTATTTTACGGCGCTGTTGCTCAATCGGGAGACGCTCTCTGTTGAGGAGAAAAGTATGAATTTCTTTGTATACGGATTATACATTGTTTAAATGTCCCGGGCAGTCGAAAAGGAGGCAGAGCTGTTGAGAAATGCTAGGAGCTAACTGGGCGCTAACTGTATCATTCAAATATATTGAATGTCGCAATGTTGGCAAAGAGAGGAAGTGACGTAAGATTTGCGCATGCGGGGTACCGATCGGGTTTCCGGTACGGATCGGGTAGTGACAGGCACAGCTATGTTGGCACAACATAAACACAGTGAAGCTGGAAGATGAATGCTAACGTTTTTTCCACTAGGGTGGAAACCCAAGGGTTCCCGATGGTTAGGGACAAATGCAATCGCATGGCAGGATGCTATAAACGGACCAAACTTCAGTCAGGAGAACAACTGAGGTAATGTATCCACAATACGAGGTTAGTCATTCATATACTGCAACAACACAGGAACAGAGCAGCTGCGAAAGAATTCAACATTAATGAATCAATGGTACGGATGTAGAGGAAGCAAGAGTTGAGTAAAGTTTGACTTATCTGTTTTCTTTCATTTAATGCGCCTTATAATCCGGTGTGTCTTATGCATGAAAACAGACGTGTTCATCAATAGTGCGCCTTAAAATCTTGTGCGCCTCATGGTCCGAAAAATTCAGTAAGCTAATGGGTGACCTCAGTGACCATAGCTCAAACGTTCCTAGGCGAATTATAAAATGTATTCATAAATGTTAATGAGATCAAATTAAATCAAATTACAACTTCTCTGTCTTTTTTAAAGTCGACTTACACCATAACGTTTCTAGCAATTACTCAGTTGCATAATTCAGGGATAGAAAGGGGGATCGTGAACATATTATAAATTTAAAATGATTTATTTTATCAGTTTATTGGTGACCATCTATTTAATAAAGCTTTCACTAGATTTATTATGAGACATTAAAATAAAGTGCTAACTTGCTGAGTGGTGGGGGGCATGAAATAGCATTGGAGTAATTCCAGTTTCCTTTAGAAACTTCTCAAAAACTGATGGAAAGCTGAGGGAAAATAGAAATATAAAATAAAAAATAAAAAAAATAAAAAATGTTATCTCACACACAGACACAATGCACCCACATGTTGACATAAAAATTCCATTCACCTCCAACGCATCTACACAGACACACACACATACACTTCTGCTGAAATATGAACTGCATTCTCAGTAAGTTCCCTAGAAGAGTAGTGGTTGTGCCAATGGACAGATCATCTGTTTCTGCAGTAGTTTAAGTGTCTAAGGTTTTGGTCTGCAACTCACAAATAGATTTAATTTAGTGCAAGCAGCACTAAATAATTATAAACACTTTGAAAGCTTTTTGAATGCCTTTTTCATCACACAGTTCACTCAAATCCTCTTTTAACTCTGGAATTATAAGTGAGGGCTTGTTTTGCTGCTTCTAGCAACGTGTTTACAAAGCCAAAGCAAAATGGTGTCTCTGTCTTTGCACTGGAACCTCTTGCACTTTAATGCAATGTTAACCTTCCACGTAAAGGCCATCACAGACAGGTGCTCTCATTTTTTATATGCGGTATTTCCATTTTTTTTTTTTTTTTACAGGTCTGATGCTGGACGTCATTGACACCATGAGAAACCATGCTTCCTGTAGTTACATTCCTGAGCAACTACAGTGGATTCATGTGCCGTTGAGCACAAAAGAGTCTTTCCCAATTTTTTCCAGGAAGGTTATACCATTTGTTCCAACGTTATTTAGAGAGATAGCAAATTAAAAACAATACATCCTACAACCAGTCATGTAATGTAATAGCCACATGTCCCTTCAGGCATCATCTTTTTGAACACCACAGTCAAACTGTATATTGTAATACTACTGCTTTTAGAGGTAAACTTTATTGGATTTCAGTAGTTTTTTTTGGTTTTTAAACTGTTCCCAGCGCATTCGCCCACAACTTGACTTGGTCTCCTCACAAATAAATAAGGTCAGGTCGAGTTGATTTGACACATCTTGGAAAATAAAGCTACATGCCTGCAATGTTAAATTAGCCTTGGGGTGAAGACTGAAACAAACATGTGAACAATCCACCCTGTAGCTGTTTGTTTACTAGGAACAGGAATGTAGAACCACCCTTCGTAACAAGAATCTGAGTAAGTAAGTAATACATTTCTGTGTAATTTTATCTTATTATTTCATCTGTGTAATTTCATATCTTTTTCTCTTACATTTCAGTGGGGGGGGATTTTGGCCCTCCCTTCTTGATAATATTGCGTCAGTTCATTGAGGACTACAGGCATTTATTTGTATGCGGCATTTCAATCAGTTCAAGATGTGGACTTTGCCTGGGCCATTGCCAAATCAGACCGTTTATCTACACTCTCCTTCTGTATTTTGACAAATAAAGAAATAATGACACAGGTTGTAATTTTTAAAACCTCATAATGACCAATATTTTTTGTGCTGTTAAATCAAACCTTATAAGAGGATGTGCTGTGTTTTTACCATGTCTGTAATGCTGAGCATCCTGTAGGTTTCAAAACGTGGAGAAACTAAGACAAAATACACAATCAAAGCTGTTGAAACTGGTTTTGACACCAGGGTGACTATATTAATTAAATCAAATGTTTTGACAGGATACTCCTACATTAATAATGCAATACATTCCAGTGTTACCAAATCATTTCCCAGATGTTAGCGGATACTTACCCAGACAGATTCTTTGAAAAATGGAGCCCTTTGGATGCCAGATTTTCCTCATATTTCACACTCATCTTTCTCGTATTCTGTTAATGCGTCAGTAGTAGTAAGTAAGCAGCTGTGATGATTAGAACAGCGAATGCACTGAATGTAGTTTCGTTAACCGTGAACTGCTCCCTTAATGACCTTTTAGTTTTCATTGGACCTTTTGACCACACAGGGTGACATTGGTTAGAGATTATGACACTGCTGTTTCATCAGTTGTCTTTCCTCTGCTTGTCACTGAATTGCCTCAGTTTCCCTCTCATTTAAGCAAGTGACCAACCATCCTTCCTCTCCATTACAACCCCCCTTCTTCCTGCCTGTGTGTACTTTGGCTCCATATTAGCCAACAACTCATGGGACACACTCAAGACAAACAACCAGCAGTTGAGACCACAGGCAGCAATACGTGTTTGCCAGTGAAACAACCAACTATGATCAAACATAGAGGTAGAAACTGAGTTCGCCCTCTGGAATGACTTAACATGATGTCACCTTTTGACCCCAAAAAGACCCAAGGATAAACTGTCCTCTGATTTCGCAGCACTCAGGGTGTGTCAAAGCATGCACTTCCCACTTCTACTTCCGCTTGAAATTTGAGAAACAAAGTTACTTTTTAAAAAGAAAAAAAAAAGAATTTAAAGGGAAACAACCCATAAAGGATGTTAATTTGTGTTTCAGTTATTTTTGAGTTAAGTTAAGTTACAGATTGATTGCTATTAAAAATATAAAACTTTATTTCAGCAGCTTATTTTTTTTAACTTAATTATTTATTATTAATGAATTCAAAATGATATTAAACTGAGCAATGAAGCAGAACAGTTCTCATCAGGTTGAAAACATCAGCCATTTTCACTTCTTGTAAATAAACTTTTATTCATAGACTAATGTTCAAACAAACTATAATGATTACAGAAGGAAAATATTCTTAAATCTCCAGCATCATTGGTGTCTGACATTTCCTAAAACATGGCCAAACATCACTGTAATCAACAGGTCGCAGGCACTATAGAGCAATGAACTTTAGGATTGGTAGAGGAAGGGAAGTACAAATTCAAACAAACTGATTATTATGTCACATAGTGTCAAATGAATTGAGCCTGTCTGGAAACAGAGCCAGGGACAAGTAGTTGTCTATTTTTAAAGTCTGTTTAGAATCAGGCTGAAGAACGGACACACAATTTGTCGTAACTTGTCTCAGAGCACAACTCGGACCCAAACAGATGCGTGCATGCTTATAAAACCATAACACTTATGTAAGCCACCCTGCCCCTAATGGTGTTGCCATTAAACTTGTCCCAACAACTTTGTTGACCTGCCAAAAGTAAACATTCCTGCATGGCAACAAGCAACATAAAAACTCAACTTAAAAGTTATGGGCCAGAAATAATGTTATCTGCCACATATTATGCCCTTACACTATAACAGTTTAGCGATGTTTGTTAATTTTGTGATTGTGTGCAATAAGATTGCGGGGCGATCGTGACTCAAGAGTTGGGAGTTTGCCTTAGTTACCATTACTAACACTTTAATGAGTTTGAAAACTATTGTCATATCAGTGCATAACGACACTCCCCATGCCTGCATACTGTGAAGTAGTGCAATCTTAGTTCCTTTTTAGCGAGCGCACAAAAAGATTGACCAAATAGTTGGCACTGTTTTTTTCTCAAAAGCAAAGGAGAAATCCCATTTGCATTACAAACGCCTTCATGTGAGATTCTGTTCTGCTGATGTATCTCCTCCTGACATTCCCATTGAACCTGTTAATTACAGCCTGCAGCTGAAGAACGCTGAACCTTGGCTCACCTCTGAAAAGATCCCATATGCAGTTTTGAACTTTTTATTGTGGTTTTTTATGACACAGGAGTATACCTTAAGCCAATCTGAAGTCATCTCTTTGCAAGATGATAATAATGAAACTAAGGTGTTTATACAGATGTGATAAATTGGTCACAGCCCCGTTGTTGTTCATCCCAGCGTTCTAATAAACTGAATATTGAGGAGTGGAGTCCTCTTTTATTCTATTTGTTGCACTCATCATTCACTAGCAAGTACCAAAACCCCACATGTGAATGTTTTATAATAATGAAGCAACAAAGCTTGGAGCCTTATGAAGTATTGGCAGCAGCTCCCTGAAGGATACCTTTGACAAAGTGCGCGTGAGAGAGGGTAGGGCATAGAAACAATGAGAAACGTATGTGGGCACAGAGGCATTTATAGACAGGAGTGTTTAGGGTGTGGATTCAATTCTGGACTTAAAATAAATTCTTCTTCTTCCAGTCGCTCCCTTTAGGGGTCTTCCCAACAGATCATCTGCCTCCATCTAACTCTATCCCTATCATCCTCCTCTGTCAAACCAAGTCTTTGCACGTCCTCCTTCACTGCATCCACAGATCCTCCGTGGTCTTGCTCTTTTCCTCCTTCTGTCTGGGAGCTCCATCTGTAAAAAATAAAAAACTACATCCAAAATCCAGGCCTCAATTGTACTCTGCTGCCGGAGCTGGAGAAGTAGTTCCTTTGAAGTCAAAAAAGTTGTCATATAAAGCAATAGGGCTGGGCGATATGACCCAAAATTCATATCTCAAATTTTTTAGCTGGATGCATATAAGATCTACAGTGGGGCAAAAAAGTATTTAGTCAGCCACCGATTGTGCAAGTTCCCCCACCTAAAATGATGACAGAGGTCAGTAATTTGCACCAGAGGTACACTTCAACTGTGAGAGACAGAATGTGAAAAAAAAAAAATCCATGAATCCACATGGTAGGATTTGTAAAGAATTTATTCGTAAATTAGGGTGGAAAATAAGTATTTGGTCACCTCAAACAAGGAAAATCTCTGGCTCTCACAGACCTGTAACGTCTTCTGTAAGAAGCTTTTCTGTCCCCCACTCGTTACCTGTATGAATGGCACCTGTTTGAACTCATCATCTGTATAAAAGACACCTGTCCACAGCCTCAAACAGTCAGACTCCAAACTCCGCCATGGCCAAGACCAAAGAGCTTTCGAAGGACACCAGGAAAAGTATTGTAGACCTGCACCAGACTGGGAAGAGTGAATCTACAATAGGCAAGCAGCTTGGTGTGAAAAAATCAACTGTGGGAGCAATCATCAGAAAATGGAAGACATACAAGACCACTGATAATCTCCCTCGATCTGGGGCTCCACGCAAGATCTCAGTAGCCCCTCACACATGCAGACATCCACATGGACCCTCGGTCTCAATGTCTGATGACTCAGAGCCAAGCAGATCCCAGCGGTCTCATGAACAACTCTGAATGTCAGCAGAGACAGGTATCAACAGAAGTGAGTGTCAGTGAACCTGGACTAGCCGGCAGATATGATCTGTGAGCTATTTTTTTTACAGGAAATTGTAGAAGGATACATTTCTCTATACTATAAAGACACATCTCCTGGATGCACTGGTACGCATCTTCAGTGATGTATCCTAAGGTCATCAGGTGTTTCGGGTCTCACAACATCATACACCCTCGCCCAGGCGACCCAGCCGGGGGTGATCAGGCCCCGACTTGCGTACCAGTAGCTACCCACGGATCAGCCCTCTTGATCCACAGCCACCTTGTGGCTTTCTCTGCCGCTTCACTCACAGCCTGGATGGCCCTCTTCTTGGCTGCCCCAGCCACGCCCAGCCGGCCTAGGACTTTGCAGAGTGATCGTCCTGCAAAGCCCCTACAACCCACTTCTATGGGCTCATAGAAAGTCTTCCAGCCCCTTCCCCTGCACTCCTGCACTAGTTCCTGGTACTTTCCTCGTTTCCTTTCATTGGCCTCCTCAATCCGCTCTTCCCAGGGCACTGTGAGTTCCAGCATGATCAGCTGTTTTGAGGCCTCAGAAATAATTATCATGTCTGGCCGGAGTGATGTTTTTGCAATGTTCTGAGGGAACTTTAGTTGTTTACCCAGGTCAGCCTGTAGCTGCCAATCAGAGGCTGTGTTGAGGAGGCCAGTTGTCAAATGTGGGCGCACCTGGGGTTTTTCTCCAGCCTTAATAAAAGAGATTGCCTTCCTCGGAGCATGATGATGCTTGCTGGTGCTGATTGCTGAGGCAATCTTTTCAGCAACTACTCTGAGCACCTGGTCGTGCCGCCAATGATACCGACCATCGGCCAGGGCCCTTGGGCAGCTGCTAAGGAGGTGTTCTAGGGTCCCTCTTCCAAAGCACAGGGGACAGGCAGGTGTCTCGCTCTTTCCCCACAGATGGAGGTTTGCTGGGCTTGGCAGAGTATCGTAAACTGCCTGCACTAGGAATCGGATCCGGTGGAAGTCTGCCTGCATGATGTTTGCCCAGGTGACCTTGCACTGCAAGGTGCTCTCCCACCTTGTCCATGCTCCCTGCCGCTTAAGGCCTACAGCTCTACTTACTCGCTCCTCCTCCACACCTGCTCGGACCTCTTCCTGGAGTAGCTGGTGTCTCTCCTTTCCCTGTGCCCTGCTGACCTGGGCCTTTGGGACGTACCCCAAGCCTGCTCCCCCTGT